TTTGCGTCTCTTCCCTAAGCTTGGTCAGTTCAGTTGTCATGTCAGTACTCTCCACCACCATTTGACTTGCTTGTACCTGGACTGAACTAGTACTTGCCCCCCATTCCCCACTAAGGTGGAATGCTTCTTCCTTTATCTCTCTGAAGGTCCGGGGGTTTTCTACGGGAGCTCTCATTACTTCCCTACGCAACTGGCGGCGCAGCCACTCGTCTCGTATTCCGTCCAGGAACCTGTCCCTTAGGATACTATCTGTGTCAACTAGGGGCTGTCCCCTCCGCCTATCTGCCCGTTTCAACAATTCTTGGAGAGCAAGCGCGTAGCTCTGCAGTGTTTCTTTTGGGAGCTGAACTCTAGAGTAGAACTGGCCCATAATTACGGAAACATGAGCCGTGTCCCCAAAGGCTTCTACTAGCCTATCTTTTAACCTCTCTAGATCTGTCCTTTCTGCATTGGGCAACACAGCCACCTGCCTTCTGGCCTCTCCTTCTAGCTGTCGATACAACAAACCGGCTCGGTGGCCTTCAGGAATATTGAACAGATCAAAAGAGCCTTCTACCTCATCTAGCCACTCCTCGACAGACAGACTAGACTCTGCCCCGGTAAACTTGGGCAACTTTCTGTCAAACGGCAGGTAGCCTAACCCAAAGTTTGCTACTGGATTCACCACTTGGTTCTGATTCTGAGTTTGATTCTCGGGGCCGTTCTGGTTATTCTGATCTTCGGGGTTTACCTGTACATCACCACCGTTTCCAGGGGGAATTACTCCGTCAGGGTTATCTTGGGGGTTTGCAGCCTCCTGATTCTCCATAGTCTTCTATCAAAAATATCTAACTCCCAGCAACAATGCCAATGGTCGGACAAGAAGGCGTGTATGTCTCCCCCTCAACCCACAAACAAGTGCACTTACCGCTGGTCTTCCGTCGTAGCGTGGTGTTGATGTTGAACTTGGCTCCTGGTCCTCTGGTCCTCGACGTCGTACGCAGCTTATCCCACCGCTGCCACCAATTGTAAGGGTGCCAAGGTCAAGGACGACGATGGTAGCTAAGCCTCGATGGGTGCCCTTACAAAGTTCGTAAGATAAGCCGCCGATGTTGTAGATGTACGACCCGAAAGAAAGACACAGGAGCCGACAGCTACGTAGAAAGTGGTCTGTATTCTCTTCTCTCTCAAACGGGAACTCTTATAACTACATGAGTGCAGGGGCTTTTATATTCTTCACCGCCTACACACAGGTTTCTTGGAAAAAGTTACATTCTTTGTATCACAATCATCCTGAGTCACATCCTTTCCCTTTCTTAAGATCTTACTGACCAGTCCCTGGACATGCCCAAATAAGGCTAGGGCCAGGCGATCTGGACGTGTGCTGCCCTAGACCCCTGGGAAGATAGTCATTAGGAAGTGTCATTCAAAGGTCGCCCACTCCTTCCCAGTATAGGGCTGCTGATACAGGGAATGTCTCAGGATGTCCCAGGAAATACACTGCAACTCTTACAATCAATAATAAAATATATCCTACAAGGTTAGAGCACCCTATTACATGCTCCCCTTTCAAAGTAGAGCCGTCCCTGGCGACGTAAATATAGATGTGGTTAACATTAGTCTCATCGGCCTCCTTCCGTCTGAGTACAAAACTAGAAAAAATATAAAGACATTACAATATATAGCGATTCGGAATGGATTACGTGTTAAAAGCGACGCTTAACAAATACAATAGAATACGATCGTTCATTTAGATACAAGTTGCAACATTACTCCTAAAACGTTTCAGAATTCTTCAAAGTTCATTCATCTCCAAATTCATCTAGAGTTCATGATTCTTCCTTTCATCTTCCGTATCTTCTGATCCGTCCTTGGTCGTCTCGACTCGTCTGCGCGGGTGCACTCGTCCCACGGCCCGTCTTCATACTGCACGCAGGTCCCGAACTTGCGTTGATCCTTCCGGTAGCATGTCCCCCGGGGCCCTGTCGGATGTACCGCCGGTGGTGAACATTGTTGCGCTGTAGAAGTCCTTGTTTGAGGTTGATCTGCAAGCCGTTGTCCTGGAGACGCAAGTGACACGGTTGGGGTCCCAAAGAGCCGTGAAATCCTGCCATCCTCACTGTGCCTGTATGGGGAAGAGGGACGGGAAACACACAACGCCACAGTCCGACCATTCTAACTTATCTACTAAATTCTTCCTCGTGTTCCTCCTAGTGTATTACCTCAGCTCCACCGAGAACATACCTCGCTTTATGTCCCTGATGGCCTGTACTAACTTATCCTATATCACAATTTCGCAAGATAACCAACCAGTTCATCTAACTAAAGTGAGCTCGTTTCCATCTGAATTACTTCAGTCCCCGATGTTTGGGTTTCCAAGAAAACGAGTCACCAACCCACAACCAACTGACTATTCATACCCCGAACTGGCTGGGAATCTGCATCATCAAAACAATATTCAATTCTCATCTTCTCGGTCCTTCTTACCCGCTAAGGTTTGAAAAGCGGAGCGCAAGAATCCTTGTGCGCGTTGCCGAAGCGATTTTACAGCCTGTCCTGTCGGACTTGCCTCTATTTTCATTTGCCAGTTTCCATACCGATCGGGTGGTACACCACGATTGGCTCTAATCGGATATCGGTTCCGTTCCTCGTCGTCATGTTGGGCAGGGAGAACTTCTTCAGGTGCCGGTGGTGGAACATTTACATTATCCACCTGTTCATTCACTACCGGATCTATGGGTACGTTTACAGGTTCAACAGGTCTAGGTTCAGGCACAATTAAAATGGGTATCCCCTGATCATCATCCTCATTATCACTGCTCTCCTGGTTATTCTCGGTGTCATTTAACTCGCCTACCGGGAGTTCATTAACTGCCGAGTTGCGCCTCCTTCTTTTGTTAACTTCCCGAGGGGCAAACGTACAAGGAGTTAACATGTCACGGTGTAATGTTCTTGTGGGGCCCTCTCCCCTTTCAGGCGTGACTACATACACAGGAACATCATCATTAGGCTGACTTTCAACAATGTGGGGGATCGTTTCCCATCTATCCTTTAACTTGTGTCTACCTCGATGTTTCTTGTTCAATACCAACACCCTCTCTCCTGGTAGTAATGGAGATGTCTTAGCCGTACGATCATAGTTCTTTTTCTGACTCGCTTTTGCGGTTTTGGTGTGCTCCTTGGCCAAATCATAAGCATATTTATACCGTTTCCAGTGATCCTTTACCCATTCATCATAGTCCATTTCCTCATCCTGTACTTCATTAGGTTCTGTTCCAATTGTGAGATCAACAGGTAGTCGTGCCTGTCTGCCAAACATTAGGTAATATGGAGAGTACCCTGTAGTACTATGTACGGTGTTATTGTACGAGTGAACTAACTCAGGCAGATATTCGGTCCATCTCCTTTTCTGTTCGGATGTCAGAGTTCCTAACATATTTAACAGAGTTCTATTGAATCTTTCACACTGCCCATTCCCCGCAGGATGATAGGGAGTGGTTCTGGACTGTGCAGCTCCGTACAACTTGCATAACTCTTTGATGGTAGCAGACTGAAAGTTAGCGCCCTGGTCTGAGTGTAACTTTCGAGGGAATCCGTATGGCATAATGAAATGTTTCCACAACGCCTTGGCGGTCGTGGTTGCCAATTGATCTTTAGTAGGAACGGCCACACTGAACTTGGTAAAGTGGTCCGTAATCACTAAGATGTTTTCATGACCACTGCTCGATTTCTCAACTTTCAGAAAGTCCATAGCAACTAACTCCAGCGGAGCAGAGGTACGTATGCTTACCAATGGGCTACGGTTGTTTGGGATTCGTGTTTTCCTTAAGCAACACCTTTCGCACGTTCGCACCCAATTTTTGACATCTGCCTCCATACCTGGCCAATAGAATCTCATTCGCAACAAGTCAACCACACGGCCTGCTCCAAAGTGGCCTGCACGTGTGTGTACAAGGTCAAACACTTCTTTTCTTAGCGAGCTTGGTAGAACTAACTGCCATCTACCTTCCTGAGCTAAGGGGTCATACGCTGTCCTATACAGTACATCATTTCTTAAATGTAAACGGTCCCTTTGTTGCAGGATTCTGTTAACCAAAGGAGTTTCTCGATTGCGTTCCTTCTCATTAGGCAGGCGCCCTCGTTTCACATAATAATGCACTCTTTCTAAAGTAGGATCGTCTTGCTGTTGTTGGGCTACCCTTGTTTTAGAGTACTCAGACAAGGATGCACAAGGTTCTTGATCAGAAAGAGGTTCTTCAACTATCTTCTCAGACAAGGTGGGTTTAGAGGCAGGCATGTACCTATCACAGAAAATCTTAGTTACATGAGCCGTGACAGTCTTCCTGTCGTTACCGTCCTGACCTACATCCTGACTGGCGGGGAGGCGGGACAATACATCTGCATTGGCATTATTCTTCCCCGGTCGGTACTTAATATCAAAGTTAAAGTTAGCTAATCTGGCCACCCAACGCTGTTCTGCCGCACCTAACTGAGCCGTATTAAGGTGAGCTAGTGGATTGTTATCTGTATAGACAGTAAACTTAGCCCCATACAAGTAATCTCTGAATTTCTCGGTCACTGCCCACTTCAGTCCTAACAATTCCAACTTAAAAGAGCTATAGTTATCCATATTCCTCTCAGCAGGTTTAAGTCCTCTAGAACCATACGCAATAACCTTTTCCGTCCCTTCCTGCACTTGAGATAAGACAGCTCCTAGTCCATCGTGACTAGCGTCGATATACACTACAAAAGGTAGACTGTAGTCAGGGTAGGCCAACACATCGGCACTCATTAAGCAATGACGCAAAGTATCAAATGCCTTCTGACATTCTTCTGTCCATAGAAATGGTGGAGGCTTACGCTGTCCCTTCTTATTCCCTGCTGTTAAACGATGCAAGGGAGCAGCTATCTTACTGAAGTCCTTTACAAAACGCCGATAATAGGAACAAAAGGCAACAAATGATTTCACATCTCTAGGGTTTCTCGGTACCGGCCAATCACGCAATGAAGCACATTTCTCTGGATCAGTAGCTACTCCATCTGCTGACACAATGTGACCCAGATATTTCACTCTACGTCTGAATAAGTGGCACTTGTCTGGTCGAAGTTTCAGTCCGTATGACTTTAGTCTAGTGAAAACCAAGCTCAGACGGGACAAATGTTCGTCAAAGTCTTTAGAGAATACTATGATGTCATCTAAGTAGATGAGTAGAATTTCAAAGTTTTGGTCACCCAGACAGCGCTGCATCAATCTTTGGAATGTGTGAGCTGACCCGGTAAGGCCCATACTCATTCGGTCAAATTCATATAACCCGAACGGTGTACAAAAAGCCGTCTTCTCTCGATCTTCTTCATGCATTTTAACCTGCCAATATCCACTAGCTAAGTCTAGGGTGGAAAACAGACTAGCGCCTTGGAGGGCATCTAAGGATTCCTCAATACGTGGTAACGGGAAAGCGTCTTTGTGTGTTTTTGCGTTAAGTTTACGGTAGTCAATGCAGAATCTTAAATCTCCATCTTTCTTACGGACTAACACCACAGGTGATGCCCAGGGACTACAGCTTTCCCTAACTACACCCTGTTCTAACAGGTCATTTACATGTTGCTTCACTTCCTGGTAAAGGGCCGGAGGAATTCTCCTGTAAGGTTCCCTGGTGGGCGGGGCATCCCCAGTTGGAATTCTATGAGTCACTGCATCAGTACATCCGAAATCATACTTGTGTGTGGAAAACACATCAGAATGCTCATCTAGAAACTTCTCCAATTTCTCCTTCTGTTCATCTGTTAAGTCTGCTCCTGACAGGTCAACTTTAGGCCTAGAGGGCTGTGGGTTACACTCACT